CCAAAATCTTTATTCAGCAAGAGATGGAAAGTCAATGCATATTTTGTTTCCCTTCCTTCCAGCATTTGGTACACCACTAAAACATACAACAAAACCAATTTTATTAATCTGAGCCAAAAAATGCTTTAGATGGTTATTTAATGTCATTTCTTACACATGTATTTATTAGTGTCAATTGATAAAAATAAAAATAATTGTTAAAACAGAATCTTGATTAATAAACTGAGTGACAGCACTTCACCAAACAACAGAAAAATATTCACTGAGGATAAATTTAAATAAATGTAAATAATTCTTAAAGGTTAAATCCATTTTGGCAGGAAGGGAGAAAAACTACTGCCACTGCTTAGAGCACATCCATTAAGCTAAGACTAATATATTTAGAAATTTGATAGCCAAGGATGGTGAGTTCAATCCCAGATATGATGACAAGAATCAACATAGTTAACAATGATGAAAATCTTTTTTTAATAAGCAAGGTTTTGTTTTGATTAATTCTAACAAATATTTTATGTTCATTAGATCAGCCCATTCTTCAAATAACCTTTTCATACAGGGAATTATTACAGGGTGAATATACCATCAGATTTTGCTTTTACCATAATTGAAGAATATTCATTACTCTGTCGCTCAGAATAAAGTGTACATGCATATAGATAAGACGGACAAAAGGAAGAGAATTCTGCAAATAAAAGCAGAAAATGATATTTTTTTTTCCCATTTTCTTGATAAAGCAAAACAAATGAAAGAATAAGTGACCAACATGTACATATGTATATGCAAGAATTATTTTATTTATTTATTGGAAGATAGGCATAAAAATGAAAACAAAATGAAACAGAGATGAAGATAAGAAAAAAATTGAGATAATAGATATATTCATTTCTTTTTTTAACTTTATTTTTTTCAGTCCTTTGCAAGATCAGCAAATCAAAGCAAAGGAATATGAAACGAAGACATTGTTGCATTAAAATATCTTATCAAACTGAAAAACAGTTGTGTGGCTTGCCTTGCAGCCATCCACTTATATGCACTGACTAGACAAAAGACATGGTGAAGAAATAAGAAAGCCTTACAGCAACAAAATCAGGAACCAACTATACTGATCTATTCTACTTCTTCAACTTTCTAGAAAAAGAATAAAAGAAAAAATGGAAGCTTCAATCTGCAAGAAGACAGACAGAACCTGCAGGTATATGGGTAGTGTCAGGGCACATAAACAAATTAAATGTCGACTTTTACATTAGAAGTTCTGACAGTCTTATTTTTTGGTTGATCAACTCAACATCTCCGACTTTTCAATTTCAGCACTTGCAAGCTTTGGCTTGGTGGTTAGAGCAGCAGGCTGACAATGAAGATTGTATATGCCAAGATTAGGCCATATCTCCTACTTATCAAAAAGAAAGGAAACTAATTTTAAACCAATGCAAAGACCATTTCCTCCTAATCAACTACTAAAATCTATAATTATTATAACTATTATTTTTTATGTATGCTCAGCAAATCAAAGCAAAGGAATATGAAACTTTGCAGTAATAAGGTGATTCAATTTCATTCAAGTGGTTATCACTTAACCACTTGGAACCAAATGATGATTTTTTTAAAGTCCTTTTGCCCCAAGCAAAGCAATAAGCCTTGCTTGGGGTAAAATGATTTTAAAAAAAAAAAGGGGGGGTTACTAACAGAGAGAACATAAGAAAAAAAAAACATTATTAAGGATCAAGAACAATAAAAGAACAAGAATTAAGAAGACAGATCATTGACATTGCATTTAAATTTTTGAAGATCAAAGTTAACTGGAAAGTAAGAAGCCAGATGAGAGTTCTACAAACGAGAAGTGTCAGAGAAGAAACTGTCAGCATAGAACTTACAGTTACATCTAGCCAATTCAACTGTAAAATGATGAGACCCTGTTGACAATCTAGTACTATGCTTAAATTCATAAAGTCTAGGTGCCATACAACAAAGTTCATCAGAACAATTACCCTGAAAATATTTATAGTACATATCTCAAACTAAAATTTTATTTTCAATATAGAAGGCATAGAGATCTTGAGAAACCATAAAAAATGGTACCAATTTAATCCTGGTAGCTCAATCAGCAACACAATTATGACTATTCAAAGTTCATAGAAATATTCATCTCATGTGCTAGTAGACAAAAAGCCAATTTTAACAGCATGTAACTGAAAATGCAGGCTTCGAACAAGTTAAAAATCATTATAAATGTAATGTCATATAGGTAGTCCTGAAGTAAAAGATAATGCTAATGGAATCAATAATTCTTAGATCAGACCATCCTAAAAGCAAATGTGTAAAAATATGACATACAAGCGCAAATTTGACTGATCACATAATGTTTCATTTCAACAGTTAATGACTTACAACTTCCTCCTATATCTTTCTTCTAGAATGATTGAAATACACTGTGTGCCAAATTATTATCGAGATAACTTTTCTTCTAATATTTCAAAAACCGTCTAATCAATTCACACAAAGCGGCCGTATTGATTTAAAAGGTCATATTTTGTGAGTAGTGGCAAGTAACTCAGGAACATGAATTCTTGAACTGGGATAGAATAGTTGAATCCAGTTTTGGATATGAACAGGAGATCAGGTGTGATCTCGATGATATAGTTCAACCACTGGATAGTTGGATTGTAGACTCCTTATGTTAATGAAGGAGATGAAGAAATTGAGACGAGCAGTCAAGATAAAAAAACAGTACACCTCAAGTGGTATATAAAGGAAAAAAGCTCACAGATTGATCACCACAAAGCCATAACTGTGCATATCATCATGGGATTGAGAGACCCCATCAGTCCAGAACCCATTCATAAAATGAATTGCGCAGTCCAGATCCAATTCACAAAATGGCAGTACAGTAGCCACGATATTATCTGCCTACTGATAAGATAGCCTCCTTGGAAGTTACTGTAAGCTTTTAATCCCTGACTATTAGGCAGATAATGCCAGCCTAGAGAAACGTTTACCTCCAGAAATCTTGATGATGAGACAACCAATCCAGGAAAAAATTACAGGCATACTATCCGAAAAGAAATCATGATGTTAAACCAGAATGGCATTTTTAATTATTCAGTTCAGATGTTCATGAGTCTATCATGCTAACCATCATGGCCCTGCATCAAGGTCAAAAGATCAATAGGATGGCATTCTGTGTCATAACATAGTTGGTCAATGTAGGTAATTGCTGAGTGACCAACCAGTCTTGCACCATAGTTGGGTGTTCAGAGCAGTAGATCACTTGCAAGTTCTTGTTTTGCTCACCAGCAGTGTTTTACAAAAGTGCATTCTGCAGTTGCCTAAAATTGTAGAAATACTAGAGATGGCTCCATAGAGATGAATTTAGTTGGATGTTGTCTCCAAGTGATATTAAGTATAGCTCTCAGCATCCAAGTGTAGATTCCACCAAGCTTACTCAAGGGTTTTAGTTAATGTCCAAGCAGTGAAACCATACATCAAAACTGTCCCTGCAGTGGCTTGAAAGAATCTCCATTTGAGGTTGTCTGGTAGATCAGATTTCCAGATTACATCCATTTCATTTCAAGGCAGCTCAGGCTATGCAGAGTTTCACATCCTTTTTAGTAGAATTTATTTTGCTTTCTAGGTACGTAAAAGATTCAACAGATTTTTATTGATTCCCCCAGCAAGACTCAATACAAATTGTCTCAGGATGGCATAAGAGAGAAAAAATATTTTGATGATGATTGAATAACAAAGATATGAATTTATGCAAATACAATATTTTGTCAAAAACGCTGGCAACTTTTGCATCAACTTCATAATTTCTCTATCATGAACATGATATTGGATAAATTACGATGTCACTAAATTAAGTAGCCTATCCATTAAGTTATTTTCCCATTAACTTGGTGACATTAATTGTGAGTTCAATCCTTGGACTGGGTACTAGAGACTAAGACGCAGCCGAAAAAGGGTAGGAATTAACTGAGCATTACTAAAAAGAACAAGATATCCCTAGACATAAACAATGGAATGAGAACAACCTAAACTTATGGACTAAGAAAGGGTTCAGTTCAAAATTCCTTGAAGGTTACCTAGATAGACAAATATCTGAAGGCTGGAGGGCCCAATGAAGCATTGTAATAATAACAAAGATGAGGACATTTGCTTGAAAGGCAAGGAAAATGATAAAGCTATAAATTTATATGAAAAGATTTTGTCAAAAATATGTTGGAAAGGTTAGTATCAACCTAATTTTTCATGTAGTTACACAAACACACATACATATATATATATATATATATATATATATATATATATATATAATATTCTGCAAAAGTGAACCCTCATATAAACAAAGTGAAGCTTATTTGGTTTTATTGTGGATGTGCGGGTGGTGTAACAGATAGCAGCTTGGAATGAGAAACTGATGAGCCAGTTTCAAATTCTTGTTGAGTTTGTTACAACCACTTAAGTGTAAATACCTTTGGGAAAAGTATGAATCCATCTCTTCTTCTCACAGGTATGGGTAAAATAGTAGAAAAGGGTTATATATCCTTGTGTAGCAACTGGTCTAGGAGAAGGACAACTCTGAATTCAAAACCTCCAACTATATTTTAAAAAGCCTTAACAAACTGCAACTGGCCAAGCATGGTGAATATGGTTACACTTCTGAAAACTTGGTTAATCAGGGAGGGGTTCTTCCACCAGGAGTGCAAAAGTTGATTTGATTTGATTTATTTGTTTTTTTAAATCTTATCAACCATTGCAGGTTATTTAAAGCCAGAAAATATTTTTAGATCATAAAAAGATTTTTTGGGGAGAAGATAATAATGACTTACTGATACAAGTCCTACTAACACACGGCTGGGGGCAGGGGGAGAAGAGGAGGGTTCATAACTATCTCAAGGATATTTTTGCATAAGTGAATATAATGAACCCGACAGGAATTGGAACTCAGCTCTATGATTTCCAATTCCAAGCTGTTATCCATTACACCACCCACACATCCAAGCTTCCAGCACCTGGTATTTCACCTATCTCAGAACTGACCAGGCTCAACATTGCTTAACTTCAGTGATCACATGGGAACGGGTGTTTCAATGTGATATGTTCAGAGTGTGAAGGATTTGGATATAACTGAAAGTAAATATTCTTTTCAGAATATAAATTTGTATTCTTCATTTACAATAAACAAAAAAATTTTTTTTTAATAAAAATTGAAAATACAATTAAGACCTGCTATAAAGTGAAAGTAGAAATATTGACCAAATATGAAGATTTGAAATGGCATCGTGATCTTTTACTCACTATTGTTTTCATGAACCATAAGATATCAGCTGTCTGTTACAAGCAAAATGATTGGAAGTCCTAACAAAAATAAACAGAAAGTTAATAAAGAAAAGAGAGTGACAGAAGCCAACCTCGAGCTTTTAGAAATGCCCAGAGCAAGATGAACAGTACAAGAAAATGTACATATCAAGCATATTGGTTGGCTATGACCAATCCAACTGTCATGTTTAATTTCACTATAATCTGGTTAGGTTTTGTGAAGCCTGTTGTTCACGTCTGTCTCAAAAGTTTTTCTTAGTTGCTGATATAGGAAAATGGTATGTAAAATAATCTATATTACTTACTATGTCTGGCTACAAACTGATGGCAACATCTTTATCTCATCTTTTATGTACTTGAACACACAAAGCTAAATGTTTACGAATCGTGCTATGGTTTGGTTACAGCATATCGTGTTTTAATGAAGATACCCTGGGATTTCCACTTCATTGGCTTTATTCAATCACTTAAAAGAGCATTGCTAGTTTCTTAACTTTTTCTAGCATTAAAAAATTACTTTCCTTACAATGTTCAGTTTGACAGTTGATGTCACTCCCAAATGACAAATTTTATTTGAAAAATGTAGACATGAGTCCATTGAAAATTCAATTTAGAATTTTTCTTTGTTAAAATTGAATAAATAAAACTAAGGAGACTAACTGTAGATGGGATCATAGAGTCATTGTGAACTACACAATCCTTTCATTAGCTTCATATAGAATGTGCTTTGCCAGTTTTAAATTCAGAGTTGCCATTCTCCTAGACTGGCTTCCAATAAAGGCTGAAGAGCACAATCTGTTTTACTATTTGGCCCATAGCTAGGGGAGCAAAGAAATTGATTTATATCTTTCCCAAGAGCATTTGCACATAAGTGGAAGTAACAATCTCAACTAGAATTTGAACTTGGCTCTCTAGTTTCTCATTCCAAGCCACTACCCATTACACCACCCACACATCTACAATAAAACTAAGTTTCACCTTGCAACATAGGACTTTTTTAATTATTATTTATAATCATATCTATTGATTTAGTATTATTTCATCATATTTCTAATTAGTCAAGCTTCTTGTTATATATAAATAGAGAAGTTTTTGAAAAAATTGAAAGAGAATTGTCTAAAACATTACACATACAAGAGACTGCAGAAGAGTTCTCAGGCTAACCAAGAAGTGCTTCCAAGAACAAAAGAAATTGGTCAAATTTCTTAAAGTGGTTTAAAGCTGATAATATTTCAGCACCTCTTCATATATGATTTACACATTTATTACCTGGCTTTAATTATTTAAAACCCAGCTTCATCTTAACTGTTCCTCACCTCATTCCCACATATTAATGATCTATGTTGACATCATTGTCTATTATTATTACCATTTTCTTTTTTAAGTATGTGTTTCCCCAAAAAACATCTACACTACATGAACTGCACTCAACAAAATAACCTAATGCATCACAGTTTATCTAATTAAAATAGAAATATTTGAAGCTCAAAAATAAAACATTGAACATTTATAATGAAAACTAGTAACATGAAAGTATAAAGATATTTTTTAAATTTCTATTTCCACTTGTTTTTTTAAATTCTTTGTAAACAAAGTAAAACACAAAATAATATTTTCTAAATAATAAAACAAAACAAGTACAATTATTGACAAGAGCAAAGATCTAACAGAAAAACTGAATTTCTTTTTGTTTTTTCTCAAGGACAAACCTAAAATTAAGTTACAAAATACCTAAACACTTAGTAAAACTCTCTTATCATTATATCAACATAAAAAGAAGAATAAATTATGGGTATACACCACTTAAATAAAGAAAAGTTGTACAATTCAAAGACTATCAGTAATACTCCCAAGCTGCAATCTACCCAACACAATCTTGAAGATAACAAATATATAAACAGGTGTACACACAAATGGGTACATCAATAAGTTTGAAGCCAAATGATGAAAAGAAAGTATTTATTTTATGCAAAAAAAGAAATATTTTTTTACCATAACCACCTTGTTAATGACTTAATTTGGGGGCAAGTATTAATTGCATTGATCAAACATTATACAATGATAATTTCAGATCAAAATTCAGCTAATAGCACCATGTCAGGCTACAAACTTATTGATTTACCTTCATATTTATGAATATATAACATGTGCACACAGTAACTTGAGAATAAATATTTGTAACAAAACCTCATATAAAAATTAAATATGACTAGTGTGCTATGTATAAGACACTGAGAATATGAATATTTACAGCAACTTTGAAAGATTGAACTTTTTATAAGAGAAAGAAAAAGAACTACTAAAGTAATACATCTTCTTCTCTAAAGATCAAGGCACAGAATTATGCAATCCATTTCTTCCTATTGTTTTTCTAGTTAACTTATTTCAGTAGACACTCATACTTCAAAATGTTATCAATCAAAACCTTTATGTATCAATGTTTGATAACCAAAAAATATTCATTCACTTTGAAAAATGCATCCAATGTAAACCACACAGATGAGGCATAATTATAAATTTGTTAAAAAAAAAAAAAATGATTAAATTACACGGTTTCACAAAAACAAATATCAGTTTCATATCTGTGACGCCTTAGATCAAAAGTATCATATACTCCACTCACCGAGATTGTATCCACTGGGGAAGACAGAGAAGAGTCCTTTGTTATTTTTGCAATGAGCCTTTTGCATTTTGCTATATTTTCTGCTGTAGCCAATAAAGCCTCATGAGGATGAGAAACTGAAATAACAACAAAGATCCAGTTTAGTGACAGAATCTGAAATTTTAACAAAGCTGATAAATACAAGATTCCATCCTGAAATATCAGATTGGTGAGGTTTGTTTCCTGATTACCATCTACAGGGAAAATGATTTTAAAATCAAATAGCTGGGCAATTTTTTGTAATATCTACAATAATAATGCAACATAACAAACAAATTACAGAAGAAAAAAACAAAATAGAATGATCTTCATAAGAAATAGTAGTTTTAATGAAACCACTCATACTAAATTTCAAGTATGCAAGTTATAGAAAAGTTATTTAAATTTGTGATCACGCAAATCCACATTTTTTTCACACAATATTTGACCTTATAGGAATTAAATTCCTATGTATATTTTTCAACCAATAAAATCCCATCAGAAGGTTTTGTTGGACAAACAATCATTACAAATACAGCCAAAATATTTTTGGACATAGTTGTAGACCTACCACATATTATTTTTGGACCATTTAGAAAATAACAATAACTCCTTTCACCACTCCTTCAAATTCAAGAAGAAGATTTTTACAAGCCAGTGTGAAATTATTTTCTAACCAATGAAAACCTTGTATTAAAAAATTTCACACCTCTATGTGAAATTAGATTTTGAATCCTCTTACAGATATAAAAATAAAAGCATACTGCTTCTCAAGGCTCAAAACAATTTTGGAGGCTAGTTTGATCGACATGTGCATACACACACATCCATCAGGCAATGGAAGAGACCACAGCCAACAGCCAATGACTTTGTCCATGTCACAATAGAAGGGATTAATCAGCAACTGCCTAAAAACTTTTTGTCTATGAACTCACAAACACATTAGGCTGACTGTCATAAAGTAAGTCCACACATTTCACACTGCAAACTTAAGAACACTTAATTACATTTTATAAAAAAATTCACTGCAAGGAAAACCTTATTTTATTGTTTTATATTTCTGAAAAGAAATATAAATGTTATTTCATTTGATATTCTGCTTTTACTTTTTCCTTCAGAAAATAATCTTTTTATGTTTCATTTAAAAGATCCTGTGTTGAGATTTATTTTTTCAAGAATAGGAGTAGATAGGTTTGCTTATCATCCAGTTCACACTCTTCTTGGTCTTTTGAACAGGAGTAGAGGTTCATCCCTGGTTTCCTGTTTAGGATTGGGTTTCTGTTTCCACTTAAAGTCTTCTCATTCTCTTTCACTTCCAGTATCCCAATGCATCTTAGTGGCCTTGCTTGATGTAAACTGATTGTGTTTCTGGTTCATTCTAAAGTCTGCTTGAACTCTAAACTTTAACATCTACACCTAACCTCTGAAATTTTATTTACTATTTTTTTTCTCAATAGGTGTAGGTAGCTTTGCCTATTGTCTGATTCACACTCCTCCTAGTCTTTTGAACAGCAATAGAGGTTCATCCCTGGTTTCCTGTTTAGGATTGAGTTTCTGGTTCCTTCTAAAGTCTTCTCATTCTCTTTCACTCCCAGAAGCCCATTGCATCTTAGTGGCATTATTGCCTTGCTTGAATTGAGTTGATTAAAAAGAAAAAACACATTCTATTACAATTCTATTATGTTTCATTCATAACAACATTGGCACAGAAAATTCTTCCAGACATACTCTTCATTGGATTAAAAACAAAAAATAAAAAGAATCAGGTTATTACTAAAGTCAAGAGTTGTTACCAGAATACTACTAAATATTTTTAATTTAATTTTTGGCATGTTTAGAGTGCTTTTGAAAAACTAAAAAGATCATGACAAATAGTTAATTCCTGTAAATTAAAATAGATTCAAATTCAATTTGTCAAAATTTCTAAAAAATATTTGACATCAAATAAAAAGGAATAACACTCTTTACATACAAGAGAATATTTATTTAGCATTTTATAGATAAATGACAAACTGATAAAGCAATGAATCATGAAACCATGAGCTGATTGATACAGAGGATCAAACCCCCCTTGTTAATACACATCAAATATTTTGTTCCTATATTTGAAAATGTATATTAAAAAAAAAAATCAACACA